TGAATTTACCAACTCATTTTGTGTATACTACTTTCATTTTATGTTCTATATCTCTGAAGGAAGATCATCACTGTTATGGGCTCAATCATGTTTTCCCCGAAATTCATATGTTGAAGTCCTAACCCCAGGGTCTCAGAATGGACTCTATAAGGAAATAGGGATTTTACAAATATAATCGAGTTAAAATGAGGTCTTTAGGGTGGGCCCTGATCCAATACGACTGGTATCCTTATAAGAAGAGGAAATTTGGACACAGACACGCACACATACAGAGAAAAGACCATATAAGGACAAGGGAAGAAGACCACGATCAGCCAGCTGGGGAGAGAGGCCTCAGAGGAAACAGCCCTGCTGACGCCTGGATCTCGAATTCTAGCCTCCAGAACTGTGAGACAATTAATTTCTGTTGTTTAAGCCAAAAAAAGATAAAGAAAGAAAAAAAGAAAGAAAGAAGAAAAAAGAATGTATTTATCATAAAATAGGCAGTTGGCAACAAATTTAAGAATACGTTGAATTTGGGGAACTACTGGTAATATATAAATTGACCTTGCTAATCATTACAATTAATTCAGTGCTGAAAAAAATCTATCACTTGATAATAATTTTTTTTTTCAGAAACTTTGAAAATATACACACATACAGACCAATACAATCAAGGGAATTTCCTTAACATACTTAGTACTCTGCATAAAGTTTACAGAATATTCACACACACACACACACACAAAACAATCATGGCTTGTCGGAATTGGCTATAAAGTAACACTTCTAAAATTACTCTGAGAACTCATTTCAGAATTCAAGGTCTAGCAAATGAAATAACGCTTCACACATTATTAGCCACTTGCAAATGAGCCTACTAAGTATTTATTAAATTTGTTACTTAGATTCCAGGCCCTTAAAATGTATTCTTTCTACTTATTATAAAACAGTGGACTTTCAAATGAAACAAAAACTGATATTGGAGAGCTAGTATTTCCTATTGTAATTTAAATTAATGTGGGATCTTGGAGACTATTAAGAATGGATATACTTTCTTCAATGTTCAACTTGATCATGGACAATTATAAAAAAAATTTAATAATTTAAAGATACTTAGTATAATAGTTGGCTTTCTAAATTTCACGTATGGAATTATTCAGATAAGATACAGATATTGCCCACATTTTATCCTCTTTCAAGTAATCACATTGAAATAACTAAATCTGTATTAACTATATGGCAAAGAAAAATAAATACTTAATTTGGAAGCAGTATCCACATGAATATTATGAAATATTCATTCAAATAGAATCTGTTAAGGTGTCCCAGATTATGTCATTTTTAATGTAGTTACCATTGATACAATAGACACAGTTTTGAGATGTCTTAATAATGGAGACGAAAAAATCTATACCTAGACAATTATAACAGGCTAACATACAGGTAACATTTTGGTAGAAGCATTGATTTAATACAAATAAGGAAAGGCATGACTAGAGAGCATCAAATCAATTCTTCTCACCTAGCCTAAAAATATGGGACAGAGAAATGCACTAACATAAAACTAGTCACCAGCCTCTATATTCTTGGAACTGAAGTGTTTCGACTGTGTGTATAGCTACCAGCTTTCCAAATTTAAAGCAGGAATTCACATCATTACCCTCCTCAAATGGTTAAAAGTGATTCAATATTTACCAGAAGTAATTAATGGGAAGAAAGAGAAACACGTTGCACTCTTTCAAATTATTCATTTTATTACCACACCAAATTTTTGTGTACCATGCTAGTTGGACGTTTGATAAATTGACAATAAATGGGATGGTGTACTTTCAAAGGAGACACAAGAGCTACGTCATAGTCTATAGGAACTGTCAACGGATAAGGTCATCAAATGGGATAGAGATGTTTGTCATACACTAATTACAAATATTTGTTCACCTTTTGGTTGACTGTTCTATTACATATGTTGTTATTAAAGATTAGTCCATACTATAGTTGTCCATAGCCTTTGAGAATCTGATGAAAGTTTTGAAAAACCCCACAAACAAATGCACATACTCAAGTGAATATAAAATTTTGTATTAATTTTCTGGACATTTTAGTGGCATGGTAGACTCTGGAGTGTCCATCCTAAGACTTTAGCAGTGGGGCGATCTGTATTATTTGCATTCCACCATATTAGATGTAAACTTTCATGATAAATTGATAATACATGACTGATTTAACATAATAACGTTTGGGGGTGGTGCACCTGAACCCAATTCAGATTCTATTAAACACAGCAATCAAAGACTTATGCTAACTTTAAAGGAGGAAGTATAGGCATAATTTTAACACGTTCATATTCCTGCACAGCTATATGCAGTCAAGCGGAAGAACTCACCCACAATCTGGGATAGGAGTTTATGCGGAAAATAATAGCATGTTTAATGATGTTTGTAACCTAAATTGTAGTTTTTTGAATATTGGAGTTATTTTAAAACTTGTAGTGGCAAGAAATGTGTTTTGAAGATTTCAGACAATAAAGCCCAACATATAACTTCTTTAAGTAATACAAAAGGTAGTAAAATGAAAGGCTATGAAATGAAATGAAAGGAAATGAGATATAAATGTCTCTATTATTACCTTCAGTTGATCTTAAATATTATTATAAACAGCTAACAAAACTATAATTGGAATTAGCTACACTGAAAGAAGGAATCCTCTTTTTATCTCTTTGAAGGTGTCAGTTTCACATATTTAAAACTGGAGTTTTAAAGATGACTTATCCTTAATGATATGGAACTTCTTTCCCCAAGGCCATTTTTCTATTGTTTATTTTTTGATATGTATGTATTTTAATGGAAATTAAAAAGAAAAATAGTTAAGGAATACCAGTTTGGGGTTTGAGACAGTATAGAAAGCATTAAGATTGGAGAAATAATATACTATGCAATAATATAATAATAACGTACTATCAGCTTATGTGGAGACAAATGCTTTCATGGCATATTTGGGGGATACACTAGTATTTCTAATTTTCTTTTCTTTTCTTTTCTTCTTTTTACAAGGGAATGAGCTTGAATATCATCCAAATTAATTAAGATGCTCTCGGAGCAAGCAATTAATTAATTCATTTAATTGTTCATTCTATAAATATTTACTGTCCTGGTACTATGTGCCATGTACTGTAATAAGAGAGAAAAAAAATACAGATAAACAAAAATTACCCAGCCCAGGCCCTCAAGGAGACTATCATATTTAAGACAAAAATGATACAGATGGAATTAGGTCGAAGTATCATAAATGCCATGAAGGGGGGCCAGTCTGGTAGTGCAACCGTTAAGCTCACACGTTTGGCCTCTGTGGCCGAGGGTTTGCCGCCCAATCCGGATGCGGACCTATGCACCACTTGTCAAGCCTTGCTATGGCAGGTGTCCCACATAGAAAGTAGAGGAAGATTGGCACAGATGTTAGCTCAGGGCCAGTCTTCCTCAGCAAAAAGAGGAGGATTGGTGGCAGATGTTAGCTCAGGGCTAATCTTCCTCCAAAAAAAAAAAAAGGAAAAATAAAAACTTAAAAAAAAAAAGGATGCCATGAAGGAAGCAATACAGAATATCGTGAGAATACATACCTCTGGCTATTATGAACTTTCAGCAACCAGAAATGGCTTCCCCTTTGCAAGGAAAACTTTAATCAGGAGATTGAGACAAACAAACAAAAGTAACCAAACAAAAAACGGAAAGTCCCTTGGTTTGATCATTTCCCTATCAAGTCAGTCTACTAGCCATCAAAATTTGAACAAACCATCATAGTGTTTTGTTTTGTTTTGTTTTTTTAAAGATTTCATTTTTTCCTTTTTCTCCCCAAAGCCCCCCAGTACATAGTTGTGTATTCTTCGTTGTGGGTTCTTCTAGTTGTGGCATGTGGGACGCTGCCTCAGCGTGGTCTCATGAGTAGTGCCATGTCCGCGCTCAGGATTCGAACCAACGAAACACTGGGCCGCCTGCAGCGGAGCGCGCGAACTTAACCACTCGGCCACGGGGCCAGCCCCAAAACCATCATGGTTTTAAACAAAACATAATTAACGGTGGTCCCTGTTTCCAGGGACCTAACATTATGGAATTTACTTAGGTCATTGATGTATTATATGAAAATTTCCACAGGCACTACTATTAATGTGAAAGACATCTTTCCCCCTTGGAAACAATAATTAATGCTTTTAAAAAGTCTCTTGAAGTTCTTACCCCTCTTCCATAAAACACTACAGATATAGTGTTTAGTGTTCCCTTTCAAGTCGTAAGTGAAGTGTTCCCCTCCATTTCAATTTTTAATTTCTCTCTCTCTCACACACACACACACAAACACACATTTTCCTGTCTCTCTCCTCCTCCCTCCAGCCATCCTTTCTCTTCCCCTAAAGTAGTCAACCTTTAGGAGTCAGTCAGGTCTATTATGAAAGATCAGTGTGGAATGTCGCAGGAAGTGAAAGTCGCTTGTCGCCACCTCTCCCCTCCTCTCCAGAAGAGGATGGAGCAGCAAAGCGGAGGGCATGTGTATGCCAGGTGGGGGCGGGTATAGTAAAGGAATTTGCTATCTTTACAGCAACAGCTTGGCAAATGCGTTGACTGCAGAGCGAGGCTCAAATCCACTTCCTAACAGTTTGCGAGAGTTTGAGTTGCAACCCCCTTTCTCAGGAAGAATCTTACTTCTTCTGTAGCCCCCAGCACCTGAAGGGGAGAATCTCAAAGGTTGTGTCTGTCCTGACTTGATCCCCTGTCCTCCCCGCGGTCTCCCACCCCGCGTTCCAGCAATCGCCGTCATCCTGCCCTTTCTCCACCTCCTGCCTTGAAAATGGGTGCACACAGGTCTTGGAACAAGCTAACGAGAGAGGAGCTTCATTGGTTAGATCTTAATCCCAGCAGGAGGGAGGGGGATCGAGAGGGAAAAGTGGAAGCTAAGCAGTGCTGTGGGCGGGGACGCACTTGGGGTGGGGGTCGCGGAAGCGAGGAGGGGCGGGAGACCTCGGTCCTGCTCCGCGGAGTTAAAGGTCGGAAAGAACTTGCTGGGCCTGGCGGTGCAAGCGCAGCAGCGTTAACCCTGAAAGCTTCAGCATGCGGGCACGAAAGGGTGTAGAGCGGTATACATAGCTCTCCATACACATCGAGAGCTCAGCGAGAAAAGGAGGGGGCGAGGAAAGGCAAGTTCCGCCTCCCCCTGGCCCGCGTGCACACACGCGCCCACCGCGGCTCGGGCTGGCTGAGCGCGGGCGAGAGTGAGCGCGGGCGAGTGTGAGCGCGAGTGTGCGCACGCCGCGGAGAGCCTCTGCCCTCGCCTCGCACCCTGCTCAGGGCATTTTGAGAGCCTGGAAACGTGAACAGGCTTAAAGTATGGCATGTTGCAAAAATGGTTTCTGCCAAGAAGGTACCTGCGATCGCGACAACCTCCGGGGTCAGTTTCGCCCTCCTACACTTCCTGTGCCTGGCGGCTTGGTGAGTTCCCTGGGGCACTGGGAGAGGGGGTGCGCGGGGGAAGGGGAAGGTGGAGAAGCGGCGAGCTCCCAGCCCCCTCCCAGGGCAAACCAGACCCTCCTGTCTGCTGTAAGGTCAGGGGCCAGAGCTGGGCTTTTCTGTGACCGCGTAGACTCGGGGAGCGGAAGGGGCACCAGGTGCAAGAAGAGTGTGGGTATTGGGGTGCGTGTGCGCGGCGTGCGCCTTTCCTGACCATTTCTCTCTCCCTCATCCCTTAGCCATTCCTTCTTTAGCGTAGGGCAAGAGACTTTCCCTAGAAGATAAACCTGTTTCCACCTGTTCTCTGATCCATTCTTAAAATAATCGCCTCCGCCCTGGTTCTTTGCGTTTGCAGTTTAAACGAAACCCCAGGACAGAACCAAAAGGAGGAGAAATTATGCCAGGAAAATTTTACCCGCATCCTGGACGGTTTGCTCGATGGTTATGACAACAGGCTGCGTCCTGGATTTGGGGGTATGAACGATTTCAAACGCGCAAGTGTGTCCTGTCTGTCCCTCTCTCGGTCTACCTGTCTGTCTGTCTGTGGGAATGTAGCTAGGTATGCCTCCTGTGCCAAAATGAAAAATCTCGCACTCTCTCTCTGTCTCTCTCGCCTCCCTTGATGAGACCTCTGACAAGCAGACCGCCCCCACCAGTCCTTCCCCATCTCCCTGCCCCCTCAGAAGCTTTGCCTCTCCCCCACACTAATTACCTCCAGGGACCTGACTGCTGGGTGAGGGAGTTGGAGGGGAAGAGTCAAAAATAAGAACTCGACGCTCAGCTGCCCTGCTGCGCTGCGCCCTGAGAATGGACTTCCCCAACCTGGCCACTTTGCTCAGGGCAGGTTGTACTTGAGGCACTGATCCGAAGTCCCCTTTCCACCCACGTGGTGTCTGTCCCTCTGCCAAAACCTCAGCCAGCGGTGTTCTACCTAGGGCATTAATCTGGGGCAGAGGCTGCCTGCTCTGCTAGAGAACCCAGTCCTTTCCTGTCTCTTCGACAGGGGGATGAATTTTTACTTTATTTTGGGGAGGTGGCATTTACTTCCCTCGTAAGACTTTGGAGTCACAAGTGTTTCAGCTTTATTTCTTCCTTCAGTAGATATTTATAAAGGTTCTAATAGAGGCCCATCCAGTAATAGTACTGATGCTCTTTTCCATATTCATATTCCTTTGCTTATATAATGAGAGTGTATGGCAAGCACTACGCTGGGCACCAGGCTCACAGAAATCTCAAGATACAGTTTGTAACCTCAAACACCCTCGCAGTCCAGTTCAGAGAGACTGCTGACTTCACTAGAAGTGTCAGCCCAGGTCTTTGGACCTGCCAAGTCCCTGTTCTCACCACTACACTGAGATAGTTACCTTTTGGAAAATGCGTTGAACAAGACATAGGCTCTATCCTCTAGTAGTAATAATAACCACCACCACTAAAATTGTATTTATTTATTTAAATTTTCATATAGCCCAGGCATTTTATAGGCATTACTGTTTAACCCTCACAACAACCCTGTGAGAAAGCTATTACTATCCTCATTTTACAGATGAAGAAATGGAGGCTTGGGAAGTTAAGTAACTGGTCCGAGCCCACAGTTCGTAAGTGACATAGGCAGGATGTGAACCCGGATCAAGCTGTGTATTTAAAAGACAAACCCATGAAGAGTGGGACATCAGATACTATGTGACAGATATAACATAGTATTAGAAGCAGGGAGGAATTTAAGCTTCCTATTAAGGGTGTAGAGGAGATAAGATGATGGGACAATGGAGAAAGTAAAAGAGAGCAGAACATTCCTGTCAAAGAGGACAGAATTAGACATGATTTAGAAAGAGTGTGGTCCAGGTTAGAAAGAATTCTTGGAAATAAAATAGAATTGCATAGACTAGAATTGGATGATTCTTTGGCATCTATCTAGACTTATTTTTCTCGTTTAACAAATGAGGACACTAAAGATTAGAAAGGGAAAGTGATTTATACAAGGACACGTTGCATATTAATGGTAGGCTGGCATCAGATCTGATCCCAAACTTTTTTCTGGATTGTATGGAGAAGGTTCCAGGGAGCCATTGAAGGTCTTCATTCAGCTCTTGCGTGTTGACAGCGATAAAAATGGATGAGAAAGTTGAAAGTTTCTCCTGGTTCTTTTCACGGTGCCTCTCCAGGGGGCAGGATGCTGAGCACTGCGTTTACCTCCATGCAAATCTGAAATGAGGCTCCTTACAGGAGTGACTCATTTGTCAATGCACAGTCTTTCATAAGTGACTGGGAAATTAGCACTTTAGATCAAATATAATTTTATGGAGAATGTTTCAGAGGATGTGCTATCATTTGAGACTATATTATATCAATAAAAGAGGACTCGTCTGCCCATAAATGTTTTAAACTTGACATTTCAAGTAAAGAAAAAAAAATAAAAGGTATCAAATCAAATCACATGTAGTTTAAATATTCATTAGGGAATTGATGTACCTGAACATAAATTAAAGTGAAAAGTTATAATGGAAACCATACGGTTTTATTATTAAATGTCGAAAGTTAAAATAATATCTGCCCAGTTGGTTATAATGCCAGTCATAATTCAAAAGCAAGAAAGTATCCATTGTAGATGCATCCTTTTTACCAACTACCCTCTCCCATAATGTTATATAGACAATGAAATGAATGAAATCAATGTATGTAAGCCATTACTGGGTTTTGGTTAGCTGCAGTACTGCTGAAATGTCTCCAGGGCGTTATTAGTCATCTTCTTGCCACTGCCTAATGATCTGCATTACCCACCTGGCGATACTCTTCTAGCTGTATGGGAAGGGCTCGAATTCACCTTACTTCAAGTGTTAGCAGTTGATTCATCATTAAAAATTTACTATATGGCACAGTTTTTTTGCCTATGCTTATAAATATTTGTTGTAAACGTGATTCATTTTTTAGAAGTGGGTCATTCTCTGTAAATGCACAGTATTCCAAATGTGACAGAGGAATAGTAATTCTCACCTGCAGAAAATGTGTAATCTGTTTACAGGATGGTATCAATGAAGATCCCTGAAAATAATAGGAAAACTCATTGTTAGCACAGACTCTGGGATGCCACTAGTTTGATCCCTTCTTTGACATTTTATACTTTGTGGAAAGTTTGACATTTTAAAAAGAAAATGAAAACCATTCCGATGTTGACCAGTGTGTTATAAATACAGATTTACTTCCTGGTTCCTTTCATCCTGCTTCTGCTCTTTGTGGAGCATTTACTTTATATCTGTTTATACAAGTTAGCTGCATTCCATTTAAAATAAAGCTAAAAGCAAAGATTTGAATTGAAATTGGATGGTTTGTGATTGCTCAGTAGGCTAGGCAGGGGTTGAAATAGATTTGGAAAGTAAATTACGTATTTTTAACTCAGCAGAACAGCTTGCAATGGGAAAGTAAAAGGAACTGAAATGGTTCTCTTTTCATTCCTCCAAGATCTCCTCTCCCTTGTCTCCCACATTCTCCCATTGGAGAGGAAAAGGGGAAAAGGGGAGAAGAGAAGGAAGGGGTATAGTTCTTTCAGCCTCTGACACTCAGTGTGTTGTCATCCTGAAGTGGCTTGCACCTGTTTAGAAGTGGCGTGCAAGTCAACTCTTCCACAACGGAGCTAGGAAATCATTCCCCTGAGCTCCTATCCACTTTTGACACTGTTATCCACCTCCTTAAAAATGCATAGTTAAGGTACTAGCCACCAGGAGATAGTTTAGGAAGCCAGCTCTTACCCGCTTCTCTTTATTGAAGGATTGCATAAACCTTTGTGCATCCCAATCTTTTGAGGTACATGATCTGGAATAATAAATACGTCAAATATAAATGATTGCCTTAGATCGTCTTCCACAACCTCTCTGAAATGAGAGTGGAGCATTAGAGTCTATTTTGCAAGGTTGCTTACGGACATAGTAGGACTTCACATTAGCAGAGTCTTCTATAGCTTTGAAAACATTTTCACGTATATTATCTAATAGGGTTATCACAAAAACACAAAGAGATAAGCAGGGCAGGCATCTCTGGGTCAGAGAGGAGGCTGAGAAAAGTTCCAATAAGTTGCTCAAGAACCCTACAACTAGCAATAGACAAGGGCGCAATTCACACCTCGTCCTTTAAACTCTTAGTCAGGCAGCTGGCCTACAGCTACATCCACTTCTAAGGCTTTCTTGAGCTTTTCTGTTTTCCAAGAGTCAAATTCTCATTAACATACCTTCTGGTTACTTAGTAAGCAGGTCATTAAAATAAGCAAAACTATATTTCCCCCAAAGGAGTGAAATGAGAACTTTTATTCTAAAGCTTTAATAACATTTTAAAATGAAAAAGCAAACATGGGGAAGTGTATACACTTAAGTAAATTTGGAATAATTTTCCCACACAAATGAAAATATCCTTGCTATGTTTTCAAGTGGCCTATGTCTCAACCTAAAAATTAAATTAATGTGTTATGTGCTAGCTTTATTAATTGAATGTTGACAGAGAATATATTTTTTAAAATATATAGATGAAAAGAACATCTAAAATCCACAGGACAACAGAAAAATAAAGCTTCATTTTCTTCTCATTTGTCAAACTCATCCATTCACTCATTTGCTGAACCAATAGATACGGAGAGACTATTATGTGTCAGGAACAATGTTAGGCTATGGAGATATAATTCTGAATCACACACAGGCCCTCGTGAACTTTACAGCTAAGCAATGTAGAGAGATAAAAATAACAAAGAAACAAATAACAATATAATTAGAGATAATGCTATGGGACAATCCAATAGCAGACTACGGTAGAGAATAAATTGAGTGAGGGATCTATTTCACATACAGTGGTCAAGGAAGTCTTTTTAAGCTGAGACCTAAAGGTGACAGACATGGAAAGGGTAAGCAAAAGTTGTTCTCAGGCAGGGGGAAAAATTGCAAAGATCCTAAGGTAGATAAGACGTTAGTGTGATTTAGCCAGTGAAGGGAGCCCAGTGTGCCTGTAGTCAGAAAGCAAGAGGTAGAATCTCATAGGACTAGCTGGCGGGGGTGAGGGGTCGGGGGAGGGTTGCTGAGCAGAGGCCAGATCATGCGAGGCCTTTGGTAAAGGAGTTTATTCTTCTAGTGAACCTGGAAGCCATTGGAGTGTTTTAGGTAGAGACAATGACATGGTATGACTTAGATTGTAATGTGATCCCTCTGGTTTCTACAGAAAGAAAGGCTTAGATAAGGAAGTGGGGCCATGTTGAAAGCAACGAGACCAATGAAGAAGGCTTTCTTTTTGGTTTCCTCCATTAAATTAATGATGGCTTGGAATAAGATGGTAGATGTGGTAAAGATGGATGTAAGTGGATGAAAGTGAGATATATTTTGGAGGTATAGTTCAACAAAGAATTGGTGATGGATTTCATATGGGTGGTAAAGGAAAAGAAGAAATCGAAGGTGACTCCTGGATTTTTATTTTGAGAAGCTGGGCAGAGGATAGTATTATTT